GTAGCTGAAAAACAATGATGGTTGATTATGTTCATGTTTACAAACCAAAGACTTACTCTTTTTTTAATGATTGTTTTGCACAAAGCAGCTAGTAGAATGATTCAGGTTCTTCTACCACTACATTTACTAGTTGCTACCTACCATGAGTATCTAATGTCATTCTTAAATAAGCAGAACTATGACTACTTGAGTCCTATATCCCCAAGGCTTACATTGTGTTTTATGCTTTGTATTTTGAGGAACTAGCTATCAGTAAATGTTAGGCAATCTGTCTGTTGATGAGAGTAGCAATAGTCTCCTAAAGAGTTGCATACTATTAGTAATAATAGGACTATCATATGTTAAGCACTATTGGATTTAATTATATGAACATACATGCATTCTTGCTAAATCAATCTTAAATACCACATACAATCTTAAAAACTATTTGCACATCAGAAAAACTTTCTAATAAATTCAACCCCCACATAAATATCTACGAAAGAAAAACCAAAATTCCAAGGCAAAGGAGCAGAAGAATAACAGTGATCTTTTATCATATCACTTTGGTGTTCATTAACCAATTAATACTACAGATGTTTCTTAATATGTAACCAAAACTAAAAGTTAAAATATGTATTACTGTTTTAATTCAGAGGGAAACAATTTACAAAATCAACTTATGCTTTCAGACTTAAACTGCATCTCACTCTGCAAACAGAGTTTTTCCATTCACATGTCAGATCCTGTACTTAACACTTTCAATAGATTAAAACTATATTTAAAATAAAATGACCTCTTTTTGTATTTGACACTGGTCTAAATAATTTGACCTCACTCTCTATTCCAGCTTCCCCCAGTTCTGTTATGTCTAGACACAGTCCCACTGAATTCATTTAAGTTTCTCAAACACAAGAACTGCACAGTCTTAGGGCCTTTTTCATGAGCCATTGTATTCTCTCCCTAGCTCTTTCTCTGAGCAATGTTTTATCCTTTGGAACACAGTTTGAACATAAGTTTTCTGTAGGAAACTCTAACAGGTGCTCTAACTATAGTGGATTCTGGTGCCTACTGTTCTGACCTTCGAGAGCACCCTTAATTGCTTCCTTTCAAGCACGTGGCATAATTTGTACTTAGGAGTTTGGTTGGTTGGATATTATCTGTCTGATGGTGAGAATGGATATCAGTGTTATACATTTCACTCATAATATTATGTTCAGTATTCAGTGAATATTTTGGGGAAGTAAACATTTTCTCAAAGTTAAAATATGAAATTTTACTGGTGTTTTATTTTTGTAGTTATGAGATTTCATCAAGTTTAAGTGATTTAGTCTTATGTTCTAGTCATGCTGCATTTTTTTTTTTGGTATAGTACACAGCAAACATTTATTTAAAGTGTGGCAAATTCAGAGAAAGCAAAGGGAGAGCTATATTAGCATCAAAGTAGTGGGTGTTCCACTCCACATTCCTCATGAGTACAGCATGCGTCCATACTGACAGGTGTAAACTCTCTTGTTACTGATGTCAGCTGGTCCAATCAGGGTCTTAGACTCTTACTGGGAAGAGGACAAGTTCAGCACACAGTAAATGTGACTAACATGTTCATAAACTTACAGAGGGGTGTATTTTTTCCAAGCTCATGGTACATCATGAGCATGTGATGACTTAAAAATTTTCAACCACAGTTCAGCATGTGATGACTTTACAAAGTCATTAATGCTTTGTCCTGAGTTTTTTGTTTATGTCCTTCTAATTTTCCCCTACAAAGCCCAGCCTGGACTACATAGGGAGATACTGTTTCAAAAAATATTGCTTACAAAAAGAAAAAGAAAAAAGAACTGGGGATTGTAGCTCGGTTCAAAGGCCTTGACGTAAACCTCTGGTTATGTTATCCTATATACCAAGCTCATGGGTCCACAGACCTCAAGAAATGATACCACCAATCAAAAGAGGGAGTTAGGAGAGTTTTACTGGAAATAGGAAAAAAGCTCCTGTGTTTCCTGAGTGGGTTTTGGATCCTGAGTGGGCAGCTGCAGGGCCTCTCAGCCCAGGACTAATTATAAAAGCAGAGTGCAGGAACAGCAGCCATGCATCGCAAGTGACTATGTGTATCTAAGATGACTCATGGAACTTAGGATTCTAACCCTGATCACTCACTGTCATATGGGGTTTAAAGGATACTTGGGATTTTTTTTAGATACAGAATCTCATTTTTTTCGGGTTTTTTGAGACAGAATCTCATTATGTAGGCAAACGGCCTTAGCTTGCTGTAGTGCTCTCACCTCAGCCTCTTCATACTGGAATTTGAGGCATATACCACCACACTCAGCATAACTGAGGATTTTAGAGAGAAAAAATCGGTCATTTTTTAAAATTTTGATTTCCTCAGCCTCAGGAACTTAGTAGGGAGTGGCTGTACCTCCCTGTTGTAAGGGCTGGGATGCATTTCTTGTAGCCGGAGGACACTCACTGAAGTTAATTTCATCAGGACCCAGAAGCTCAATAGACATATGCCTACCTGCCCCCAGTGGGGAACAGGCTGCATCTATATTTATAGCCGACAGAAGGGAACACTCGTTGGGACGTCTTTCAGGTTGGCCATACAGTCTCAGTGCTGGTCTTCAGGTTTCCTAGGGAGTTTCCAGAATTGTGCCAGCTGTCCCTGCAGGCGTGTTGGGCTTCATTCCCCAACTCAGACTCCAACGGGCTGGGTTTGCAGCTGTGCCATGTACCCTTGTAAGAACCTGACAGACCTCATGTGGCTGCTCAGGTGGATCACACAGCTACCAGCCATCCTAAACCCAGTATCTTAAAAAAACTAAAGAAGGAGAGTTTAAAATAAAAGAAGACAATTTATTTGAAGGGGTTAAGAAGGAAGAGAGAGACAACAGATAGCTACTGCAGATAAGCCAGGAGTATTCAAAAGTGAAACACTCAGTTTTTAGTCCTTGTAGACAAGGTCTCACTATGTAGCTCATGTTGGCCTTGAACTCACTATGTTGCCCAAGATGACCTCGAATTTGCAGTGATCCTCTTGCCTCAGCCTCCTGGGAGCTGAGATTACAAGTGTGCACTACCACACCTGTGCATGCTACATTCTGAGCATCTCAGATATGTTTCAGCATATGCAGTGGTGCCTTAGTTCATGCACTTAATAATTCCTTCTGCGGTTCTGGGGAAGATAGCTTGCCTTCCTGTTAGTGCTGCAGAGAAGGTGGTGTTGTGTTTCTGCTAGGAAGCTGGTCAGGGTCATGGTCCTCGCCCAATGTGAAGTTCACAAACTGAGGCATTGCTGTGCAGTGTTTGGGTTGTTTGACCTACACTGACACATATTTAAATAATTCAAATAAAAAACTTTACAATTAAAAACAAAAAATGTGCTGTGGCACATTTTCTAAAGACATATATTTTTGTTTCTCAGATGGGACCTGGGTTTTTGTATTCTTAATACATTTCTCAAGCAATGCTGATTCTCACATCTGAGGCCTCTTACTTGTTATGTTCATAGTCTTAATTTTATGTTTCTATCTTGTGTATCCACTGTTATCAGTTATAACTCTTTATTTAATCCAGGTATCGCTGGCTTGCCTCCTTAGGTATTATATGAAGCTTGAGTATTGAATGAATACATACTGTGTTTATCATTTCAGTTCTTCTGTCTCTTGCTGTATTATAGCTGAGACTTCTGTGCTTTTAACCTGGTTCAGTAATGACATCCTGGGATTATTTATCAAAGAAAAAATTTGAAACAAAACATAACAAATTACAAGTAAGGAATTTAAGTCAAATTGATGCAAGATGTCTACTCTGAAGATCACTAACTGTACATATAATATTCACAGTAGTGTTTTAAAATAAAAGCAATCACAAGAGCTTGCAAATATAAATTTTTGTTATGAGAAAATTCTAATTTCTAAATTTATAACCACTTGTTTTCTTGTTCTGTGGGCTTGTTAACTGCTTTTATATTAATTATTGTCCAGAAAGACAAATTTATATGCATATGCTCACACACAATTAGGGATTTTGAGATATAGACCATCAATAGCAGTTCCCTAAATGCCATTTATTTCTTTTCTTTCACCAATCACTTTTTCTCGTAAACATTTTATGGGGTGAATGTAAAATAAAAAATCACAGTTTATAAAATGATAAAACATCTTCTATATTAAGATTATAGTATGCCAATTACACTTTTTCAGTTCTATTTACTATTTCAAATCCTTCTGTAAATATCTACTGTGACACAAGAAATACATATTGGTAACATAGTAAGCACACACTACTTAAAATATGCATTCAAGTATAAATTCATGATCACTTTCTTTGGACTGGACTGTTCTTACTTGGAAACTTCCCTTACTTGGGAGTTCAGATGCAGATATAAGGTATATCATATTCAAAATTATTATATAATGTTTCTAAAATGCTGAAATATATTTAGAGGCTTGCTTTACATACATGGTACATTTTTTGTATTCCTAAAAAAGAAAACTGTCTCCTACTGGGATTTTCAGAGCTGCCCTAACAATATGATACTCACAAAATAGACACATAGCTGTTTTATTTTCAGTCTAAGTGATCTGAGATCCTTTAACGGAAATTTAAAACACTTTCTATTTACAGTATAAGTTTCAATTTATGATATTACTTATTTTGTGAAATGTTAATCTTGATTCGTATGCATCTTTCCTCAGTGATATTTATATTTTTAATGTAAAGGAGAATGGGAAATAACCTTTTCTTCTTTCATATTTTGCTTTGGGGAAAAATGGGGAAATTACCACTTTTCTCCTGTCTCTCGATCCCAACATTTTTCATAGTTGAAATAATTTAGAGATAACTTCCTGCATTTTCATGTGCACACATTGTATCTTGACAAACCATAAACATATTAGTGTTCCATCAAGTATCCACTTATTTTAGACAACCTGCAATTCTGAATAATAAAACTACTCCAGTAGCTTTTATTTCCCTTCTGTGTTATCACTCACACTTTGATGGGCTTTTGCTGTTCCTAGATATCCGTGGAATACAGGAATTTTTGGACAAAGTATCTCAGCAGGGAATGGACGTTGCACTTCAAAAAGTAGAAAACAACATCAATAAAATGATCACTACTCTCTTTGATACCATGAGAATAGAGGAATTGAATCGCTATCGAGACACTCTTAGGCGAGCCATCCTGATTATGAACCCTGCCACAGCCAAGTCCTTCATTAGTGAGGTAAGTAAACGTTGCCATGGGGTGGAGGTAGGGTGTAAACTCTAACTACTTCAGAACAGACCCCAGTGAGATGCATCTGAAGAGCAGAGTGAGGGAAATAACTCTGCAGCTCTCATGAATACTAATAGAGGCAGCACAGGGAATTCCTGCTCATCTCATTTACCCCATACTGTCCAGTTAATTGCTGAGAAAGTTTTATTTAATACATATTTAGAGATGTAGCCAGGCAATTTGAAGAAGTCTTGTGGGAGTTTAAATATGTTACTGACCTGAATGAATCTAGAAAGTTCAAAATCTAATCCACAGATGTACAGCTAGCTTGTCTTAGTTACTTTTCCCTTGTTGAGACCAGACACCCAGAGTTAAAGGGGACAAGGGTTATTTGGCTCACAGTTTGTAGAGCTTTCCATCCATAATTGGCTGGCTCCAAGGGCAGGGTGGCATATGGCAGAGAGCCATCACCGAAGAGAACAGTTGATGGTACCCACAAGATGGGTGGGGAAGAGATGACTCCTTCTGGCCCTTATATTATATGCAGGTGCAGCACTCACACCTTTAACCCTAGCCAGAACTTTGCCAAACCAATCAATGGGCTGATTTACTAATTATACACACTTAATCCCAATATCACACTCTAGATTCAGCTACCTCTAAAAAAGCCCTGGAACCATATAAGGCTTTGGGGAGACATTTGGGTGCAAATCAGAACATAACTGATCCTTAAATTTTTTTGCAAGTTAAAATTTTACTTCTAAGAAATATTTATTTGAATTCATCTATGATTGCTTAACAATGATGACTATTACAAAAGCATTCAGTGAATTTACTTCTGCTCTGGGAACTCAGTACCAAGACAAGTGATTAAAAGTGTTTGAAACTGCAAAATGATGACCACTGTACAATTTATGATGCTGCATGCTCAAAATTTTAATTTTAGTGTTTATTTGGTTAGGAGCCCTCAAACTTCATGAAATCCAGGTAGAACTTTCTGGTAGTTGTTACTGCTAGGATTATTTCCAAAAGATGAAAAATATTTCCAAAAGATGAGAAGTATAAAATAAAAAGCGGCCTTTATTTTGGGAACACAGAGAGAGATGACTGGCACCCCCACCGCTGGCGTCCGGTGATCTCTCCAGCGGACATGTGGCGTGGGGGCCTGTAAATAGCCTCAGTTTGGGGTGGAACCTAAGGCGGGCATTAGGGATGCACAGGTAGCCCATTGGTCCTAGGTTTGGCGCCATATGTAAATTTCCAGGGGCAGGGAGATGGCATCACAGGTAACTTCCTAGGGGCAGGTGAGGTAGAGCTTCCTGCTTCCAGTTGAGGTTTTCCTGGCTACAGAGTCCTGTCTGGGCCCAAACCCTTTCAGTTACAATACCACTACATACTAATAGGCTGATGATTGCCTTGCAGGGGATTACAAATGCATTTCACTTATTTCAACTTTTTAATTTCAAACAATAATAGAACTAGTGATGACCTAACACACTTTTGTATAGTGTTTTTGAATTTGGTGACTTTGTTTGATTAGTACTTTTTCTTTACTATGCTACTGTACTTTTAAACTAAGCCTTCAAATTAAAAATGAATTAGACATTTTTGACAGTCTTTAATATAATTTGTATTAGGATCTTGAAGCAGAGTACAGGTCACTAAAAAAAAGTAAAGCAGTTCTGTGCACATATGGAACTTTGACTTTTTAAGTTTAGCAAATGACTTAGACCGTCCCACTACACCAGCAGGTTCTTTGGCTTATAGATGGTGGTCTCCTCCTTACATCTCAGGCACAGCATCTTCCCTCTGAATGGCTATGTGTCCAGATTTCTGCCTTTCTGGGACACCAATTAATTTGCATCTGGCTCACACTAATGACCTCATTTAAACTCGATTACGTCTATAAAGACCTTAACTTTCTAAGAGGTTACAAATACCACTAATGATTATGAGCAAACCTGGTAGACTGGTAGGTTTGAAAATTCATGTAAAATTTAAACTAGCAGTGAACTACCCAGATGGTCATTTCTCCCTTTTAATAATTGCATTACTTAGTTTCTTCTTACCACTTCAACTTTCTTTTCAAAGATTTAGTTAACAATGAATTCATTTAACTCTCCTATAAAACCTTTGAGTCGGTGTTATCATCATGTTTGTCTCACAGATAAAGACTCTGAGGCACATAGTGATTAAGTGATTTATCAAGATGACCCACATAGGAAGAGGTAGGTCTGAGACTGAATACAAGGAGTCTCTTCTAGAGTCAGTTCTCCACCATGATTTCCAGGGTGATGAAAAGTGCATTCCTGGAGTTCAGGAGAAGGGTCAAGACTAGTGATGTTATTTTGTTTGTTTTCTTTTAAATGAACATTTACTTACTATCCAGTTTATCCTAGATCCTGTCCAGGAATACAGTGGCCGGGGAGATCAATATTTCTTTTTACATTTTCAGTCTGGTACAGAGAAAGGAAACAGAAAGTATTGGCTTTAAGGGGCACTATCTCGTCAGAAAGCACACTTACATACTCCAAGCCACATGCATCAAACACTGTGAGTCTGACTGCAGGGATAAAGTGTCTAATTGTGGAAGTGTCATGGGAGAAGCTGGAAATAGATGATTGATGTCCTGAAGGTGTCCTCAAGTTGAGCGTTGAATGGCTCATGGAAGTGAATCAGGCAGAGAAAGAGCCAGAGGACATTCTAAACTGCAGGAAGATCACAAACAGTAGCACAGAGACAGTGGATGGAGCAACGCTGCAAAGGGTGAGGGAATCCGGAGGGAGCCTCGCGCACTGAATATTCCTGTTGAGAAGTAATGAAAATAAGGACTGATTGTGGATAACTTTAAAGTTAGAGCAAACCGAGCCTTTATATACAGGGCTTAAGTTAGAAACCAGTGAGATGGGAAAATTGTAGAATGGAGAGAGACTGCTGATGAGATAATGTGCTGGAAGGGGGATTCACGACGTCCTCTGGGAGAAATGTTATCTATTGCAAATAACCTAATGCTGCTGTTTCAAAGATGAAGAAATCACTTTTGAACTTGTTAAAGCAATTTTGTTTATTATCTTTGCATTTCTCATAATCCATTTCAGCCAATATGATTTTGACTTAATTTTCATTTTGAGCCCTGTCCTTGACTGTGAACTTAAATACTTGTGATGATCTATGGCTTCATCTTTGTTTCCAAGGTGTATGTTTGCGATTTTTCCTGAGAAGCTTCTCTGCTTTCTCTCCATGCAGCCATCTTTTTATTTCCAGTAACATCTTTCAGAAGCACTCATCTGTGTCTTCTAACAAGTTTAATTCACAAGCTGAGTTCTCAAGCACTGCTGTGGAAACCACTCCCAGGCCTGTGATAACTTACCTGCCTGGTGCTTCCTGTTTCTCAGTAACTGTTCTTATGGCCCAGGCCTGCTCCTGGTCTTTCCTGTGTTGTAGGCATGCTTCCCTTGCTTGGGAAGGGACTGACCCTGTCAGTGCTGGATGTAGTTCAGTTAAATGTCAGGCAGCATTGAATTCATAAGAATGCTCTGAAGACCTGGAGACAACAAAGAGAAATAGTTTCTGGCCAGAGCATCACTCTCTGTGGTGGTGGGGCAGGCCTCCAACCAAATAATGAAGTGTGCAGCTGTCATAGTGATGGGCAAATAGTATTCCTGGAATCCCACAGGAGAGCCAGCTCTGTAGAGAAGTTGACTGAAGTCAAAAGAATTCCACAGGAGTTCTTTTAACTAGAAAAAAAAATGAATAAAGATCCAGCTTCCTACTGATTGCTGGAAAACCTTAATTTAGACTGTGAGTATAGTATGTAGACAGAGGTTAAAAAATTAAGTTCTTTTGAAGGTTTGATGATTGAAAGTAAGACTTCTTTGGTTTCTATCTCTAATAGTTCTTTATAGAAGACATCACATGTTTCTATTTAAGTTGTATTTATATTTAGAATAGACTGTGCTTTCACATAATTTAAAACTTAGAAGGTTTAACATAATTAACTTTCTGCTACTGTCAAGCATTTGCTTTTCACTCCTGAGGTAGATAAAGTATCTGCTATGGAATTTCAGGCACTCGTGCACACAAACATATTGTTAGTTATTCTTACAGAAAGAGTGGTATACGACCTATAAATTCTTTTTCTGGATTTTTTTATTAGAAACAGCTAGAAGAGTACTTTATTGAAATACATTGTTACTCATAATTCTGGTGGTTATATAACATTCCATTGATAGAGTAAGTTACTCTTCTTTATTTTTTCTGTTTTTACTTTGGTGACTATAATTGGTTGATATGTTATTTTATTTCCTTCCTATCTTTTTTGTATGATAGATGAAATTTTAGGTAACTTACTTCAGCCACATTCATACCTTATCTAAAAGTCTTAAGTGCAGATAACATTAAATAATACCACTACATTTTATTACTGAACCATCTACTATAAATTGTATAAAATTCAAAAGGGTTCTCTTTTTCCAACAGCATCTGCAATTCACATTTTTAGTATAGGATATATTGGAAGCTTGTATCTCTTATTTTGTAACCATAATTAAATTGTTCAAACGTTGGCAAAAACTTGACCCTATATGGTGAAAATGTGTAGATATTCTTACACTTTCATAAATATAAACATTTTTCATATGACAAGCTAGTATTCTGACATGATGATGTTGAATTTTTGTCACTCAGGCTTAAGTTTTTCAGCTGAGTTATTTTCTTAGTTTTTCTTCATCTTATATTTGTGGGCTACTCAAATTCTAAATTATTTGCCTTCAATAGCAGATCTCCAGCATCCTGTTTTCCTGTCTTTTTCTAGTACCTTCTGGTAGGTCTGTGATGGAGATCACTACAAGTGGCCTCGAGCAGGATTTAAAATTAACCAATTGCCTTTCTATATTTATTTGTGAGTCTGGCCCAGGCCTAGACCCCCTGTCTGCAGATGGGCAGAAGATTCATAGTAAGTGAGCCTCCATGAGACTGTGGTCTCGGCGGAGGCTTGTAGTGGCCTTAAA